AAGGAAGGAAGGAAGGAAGGAAGGAAGGAAGGAAGGAAGGAAGGAAGGAAGGAAGGAAGGAAGGAAGGAAGGAAGGAAGGAAGGAAAGAAAGAAAGAAGGAAAGAAGGAAAAGGAAAATAGCAACAGCACTTAGACTTATATACTGCTTCACAGTACTTTCCAGCCTCTCCAAGAGGTTTAACAGATTGTTGTCCCCAACAATCTGGGTCCTCATTTTACTGACCTTGGAAAGATGGAAGGCTGAGTCAACCTTGAGCACCAGTCCTGGCTGTGGGCAGAGTTAGCCTGACATACTGTATTTTAACCACTGTGCCACCACATAGAACGTCATAATGTAAAGTCCTGTTTGCATTTTCCTAAGTTCTACAAATGATGGTCACATCAATCAATACTAAGTTCTGGTCTGAAGATACATTCAAAAGAGGATTCAATTCCATCTGATTTGTCTGGAGAGAAAAATACAGATTAGGCTTAATTATGCAGCTGAGAGTGTCGTATTTTTAGATCAATCCACTGTTATCCATTTCATTCATATTTCTAATGTTTGTTCTGGCTGTGCTCCATTGTGGAATTTGTCTCTCGGTCCATTACTCTCAAGTCAGGGTCACCCTCATCTAACCAAAATTCCACACCTTTATATTCCAATATTTTCAGATTATCCTTTTCCCCCAACCTATCCTGGCAGGAAAATCATAAAACCCATAGGATTTAAATCCTGATCCAATTTTTTGGGGGGGAGTAATATATTTTACCCTCAAAAATTTAGCAGTTCTGGATCCGAAGGTTTCTAACACAAATTCCTCTTCAAGTAAAAAGCGTTATCCGTAACTTTTTAAAGATTGTCCTGCCCTCCAGGTTGATACAGAAAGCATATCTGATCCTGGAGGTGAGCAATTAAGACATTAAGCATTGTCAAACACATGGCTATATTTGCATTTTATCCTAATAATAAGCCCATCAGCTCATTTTCAGGAGACTGAGGCTCCTTCAACTAAATCCTCTGATCAAAGCAAAAAAAAAAAAAAAAAAAAGCCACTTGCATATTTAAAAAAAAAATATCAGAGAAAGAAATGCTAATTTAGACCCTTTAATATATGATGGTAAGAGAGTCCTTCAATTACCTCAATTCTATGGCTCGGGAAATAATAATAATAATAGGTACAAAGAGTCAGATTAGAAAGGTAGGAATACTCATTAAATCCAAAAGGTCCAGCATTCATTATTTCCAGCATCTGGGGCTAAACAGGCCCACGGTTGCTCATCAAAGAGATATCCGTGCACGTAATGGGTTAAATGGAGAATATAATCTAATTAAAATATTAGGCAATGAATAAACAGTTCTTTGATGATATCCCTCGAAAGGGTAGTATTAAAAAAAAAGATAGGTTCGTGAGCTTTGCAGGAAAAGGAATGAAAAAGAACAGAGCTCATCAGAAATACTTCAAAGTCGTGCCTTTTCGGTCGCTTCGTTGCTATTTCTCCGACAGAATCAGCACTGAAGAGCAGCAACCCACATGTACAGAATGTACACGCTTCATTTTGGAAGACTTTAAGCGAGAACCCTAAGAGAAACAGGGGTTGGACAATGGCTTTTAGTGCGCAATCTCGTTGGAGACGGTCTAAATCAAGGGTGTCCAATTTCATGGAGGGCCGCATCAGGGTTTTGTTTGATATTGGGGATGGGCGTGGCCAGGGTGGGCGTGGCCAGCTCGACATCACTTGTGTTGGGGGCACCTGTGGCGGCCTGAGTGCTCTGCCAGCGGAAATGGACTCCCAAGCTCCGTTTTTGGCTGCAAAAGCCTCCTGCAACCCTCTGCCAGCGGAAATGACTCCCGAGCTCCGTTTTTGGCAGTGATGGCCTCCTGCAACCCTCTGCCAGCGAAAACGGAGCTCAGGAGGGCCACCTGCAGCCCTCCTGAGCTCTGTTTTCGCTGGCAGAGGCACTGCGGGCCAGTCCTTCGCTGTTTCCAGGGTGGCCAGACCTAAGCACCCCTTGGACGAATCCAGCCTCCAGGCCTTGAGTATGACACCCCTGGTCTAAACTAATGGCCAAACCAAGCATGTGCCGAGGAATTTTATCAATGTCTACCTGGTTGTAAGCCGGGCAGGGCAATGTACTAAACTTCTCTTAATGCAACCCAGCTAATCCTCGATTTACAACAGTGACCAAAGTTACAATGGCACTGGGAAAAAGGGGCACATGACCCTTTTTCACACTTATGACCATTGCAACATCTCTACAGTTATATGACCAAAATTCAGACGCTTGGCAGACTCCTATTTATGAAGTTCGCAGTGTCCCAGAGTCACGTAATCTCCTTTTGCAACCTTCCGACAAGTCAGGTCAAGGGGGGAAACCAGATTCACTTAACAACGGGGTTGCTAACTTAACAGCTGCAGGGATTCACTTAACCTGTGCTGACCCAAAGGGGCGTGGCACAAAGGCAACACAGTCAGATAATCAGTAGGAGTCCCTTTATTAGCTCTAACTTTGCCCCCAATGTCCTGGTTACCTTCTGGGCTGGAGAAAAACTCTCCCAGGAACAGCCTTTGGCTGCAGAGAATCAAGTCCAAAATGTGGTCAATACAAACTGTAACTATAAGTCCAATCAAGGCAAAAAGGAAGTAATTAGTTTGGCAGGTCAGCAGAAGGAATTCCAGACGTGAAGGAACGGCAGTAATTCAACATGGTTGGGAAGACACCAGGAACACAGATAACCAAAGTCAACACAAGATAAACTCACGTTTGTTCCCAGCAGACACTGCTCTCAGTTTGCATCTCTTTTAAATTCTCTCCCCAGGTGTGCCTAATGAAGGGAATCAGGGCCCTCTCCTCCCCCGTAAGCCACACAGCCCATGTTGCTCCCTTCTCTGTTCCACCCTGCATGCCCTAGGATAAAGAGAGGGTGGGCCTGGGTCTTCCTCTGAATGCCCTCTCCCTTGTTCTACCTCTCCCCTGCTCTGCCTAACTGGACTTTTCCCTTCCCCAGTTTCCTCCATAGCCAACGGAGCCACACTCCCACTCCCTGTCAGCTGTTCGTCTTGCTCCTCGGATTCAGACTCCGACAGGGACATGACACTGGTCCTTAAACCATCAAAAGGGTTTCTTTTGGAAAAGGATGCCCTGGAATGGAGGGAAAGGAAAGAGAAAAAGATCACTTCTAGATCATCGTACACCCAATGTTTTAATTTATCAACAATAAAATGAAACAAAAATAAGTAAGGCTGAATGCAATGCAAGGAGAAAACATCCCAGATCTTGCAGAAGTTCATGAAACTCATCGTTGGCGACGCTCGTCCTTTCGGACCATGGGTGAACACGGCAAGAAGAAAACGGGGGAGCAGGAAGAGCGCGGCAGACCCGCGGAGGCCGATGATGGCAACGGCCCCATCAGACAATATGGAGCGTTTTGAATGCAGCCACCACCTGCTTCTCCTTCTCGTGCCTATTTTGCAGGGACTCCAGAGAGGAGATGGGAGGGAGGTTCTCTCCGTTTAAAGTCCGTGCCAGGTTTTTCTCCTCTTTGGTCTCTTGCTCCGACGATCTCGAGACAAAAAGCCGAGGCTTGGGAATTGTCTTGGCATATTCCAGGGCCTGCAGAAGCAAGGAAAGAAAGCCACAACGACTGGTCGTGAGAAACCTCTAAGCCCGGATTAGAAAGAGACCATTTCCAAGGAAGAAGCAGTAGGTTCCTTCACATCAGCACCCCCACCATTTCTTCCTGTCCAGGTTCCGACTAACCAACCCAAGCAAATCAGAACTCTGAGACTTGGCTCCTTCTCAAAGGTCATCTTTAATGAGTGCATCGGATCAGCACAGCGTCAACGGAAAACCAAATCTAAATCTTTCCCGCCAGTTTCAGTATAATTAAATTAGGAAATAACCCCCCCAACCCCAAGCGTCACAGGTCATGTTGGCCAATTGGGTCAATTGGCAGGCTCTTTAGGCACTCCTTCCTCAACCTTATCTGTTGCCAGTAGAGATGACCTTGATTCTCAAGAGAAAGCTCTCTGTTTTGTCTAGGTAGGCATTCCAACCTCCTTCCTCCCTCCCCCCTCTGTGTGGCAACTGAGGAACAGAAAGATGGCTGCGGCCAGGTTCAGTTCGAAGGTTCACTTCCCCTATCTACACAACAACCCTCAAATGATTTCCTTTCATCAAGATGACATTCTTGATTTCAACTTTGAATAGGACCATGGGTAGAAAAAAAAGGAGCAGAAGGGAAATTTTTAAGAAGACATAAAACCAGGAAGTAAATAGAGACACAGCGCATATAAAGAAGGAATAACAAAATTATTTGATTCTCCATACTCCCAGCAAGGGAGAGTTGATCACTTCTCTTCCTTTTCCTACAGATGAGATCACTGTAGGGGATACAAACCTCCACTCATCCATTTGGTAGGACTTCTTCTTTGTGAATTGTTATCCAATTGGCAATCTTTTGGTAGTGGTAGACTTGTTATGCAATCATGTTTGAAGGCACATATATGCCCCTTCTGTCATAAATGAAAATCTGGCAAGATTTTTGCAATCTTGCCCCCTTAGGATTTCAACTAAATAGGTTAAACAATCAAAGAACGGTTGCTGGAACTGGGTATGTCCAGTTTGATGAAAAGAGGGACTAGGGGTGACATGATAGCAGGGTTCCAATATTTGAGGGGCTGCCACAAAGGAGTCAAGCTATACTCCAACGCATTTCAGGGCAGGACAAGAAGCAATGGGTGGAAACGAATGAAGGAGAGAAGCAACTTAGAACTAAGGAGAAACTTCTTGACAGTTAGAACAACTAACCAGTGGAACAATTTGCCTCCATGAGTTTTAAATGCTCCAACACTGGAAATTTTTAAGAAGAGATTGGATAACCATTTGTCTGAAATAGTATAAGGTTTCCCGCCTAAGCAGGGGGTTGGACTAGAAGACCTCCAAGGTCCCTTCCAATTCTGCTATTCTGTTCGATTCTATCATGAGGGAGGAACTAATGTTTGGATCACCAACACTGATGATGAAGGCAACCAAAACCCCAGATGATTCATGTCAAGACGGAGAACCAGGCGCTTTCTGATTATCCAAGAGTAAGTTCAGTCTCGATCCTTGTTTCTCAACTGGCAACTTGAAGAAGGGTGGACTTTAACTCCCAGGATGCTGTTGGGGAATTCTGGGAGTCGGACGTCCACACATCTTTGAGGTTACCAAGGTTGAGAAACACTGTTCCAGACGGTCTCCTGCTGGCCACCTTATTTTGCTAGTTCCTACCTTTTGCCTTGACACGACTGATTTGTTCTCCGTTTTCGACTGAGGTTTCCGTGCACTTGACATATTCTTCAGATTCTGTTCATTTACTTGCTTGGCATATACTTTTTGGTGTTTTATCTTTTCTGACTGTCAAAAGGACAAAGAGGAGGAGTTCAAGGGTAAGCTGGGAAACGAGCCATTTAACGTTATTTTATTTATTTAAAAGCTGTTCAATTTGCATGGCCACCTATCTCAGACCAGTTGAAAAGTTCAAGTAGGACTTTTAGAAGGAAGCGTGGACGATGGAGGGGTGGACTCGAAACTCTCGCTAACAAAACCAGGCATGATTTTATGAGCTTATCTCATCTGAACTTCTTACAGGAAAAGGTAGCGTGTGAATATGATGATTCCTTAATTAGTCTGTTGTTTATTGTTAGCTTGATTGTCTGAATTGGTAGGTCTTTTGATTGGGGCAGTGTCTAAAAAGACCAAAGCATCTTCTTCACCAGCAATCAACACTCAGATCATTATCATTATCTTTTAATGACCCCATAATCCCTTGCGGGGTGCAGCCTGGGTAACTGAATGGAGCTGAGTGATTATTGGCCGGATGCCACTCCTGTTGCCAATGTGGAGTTATATTCAGCAGATATATTCTCAGTGTGCCCAGTGAGAGAAATAACTGCCTCTACCTAGGATCGAACTCACAGTCTCCTGATTGTGAGGCATGAGCTCCACCTCTAGGCCAATACACCACTCAATCACACACCCAGATCAGCAGAAATTAACACCAAAATTAACACAAGACCAACAATCAAGCAGGAAACATTTCCCCAACTGGGGAACAACCACCTCAGACAAACAATCAAGCAATAAACAATAGCAAGAAACAACAAACCACCACCAACAAACCCTACTCCCTTCTAGCACTGATGATATTACGCAGTTGGGTTCTGTAATGTCTGTAAGAAAAACAACCAAGCCCAGAGAGCACTAAGGACCCCACTGTTCAACCCTGAGCAACAAATAGTCTCTTCTATTGGTAAGTTGGAGATTTTACCTACCCTGTTTCTCTGAAAATATGACCTACCCTGAAAGTAAGCCCTAGCTTGATTTTTACATGCCCAATATAAGCCCTACCCCCCAAAAATAAGCCCTAATTAAGATCCCACCCACTCCAAAGTGCGCGGGTAAAAATTAAGCTTGGGTGGGACTGGGGAGTTGCCCTCCTACTTACCTTTGGACAGTTGTAGCCAGGCCTCGCACACCCTGACACCTGCCTCGCCGGCCCATTTCTTCTGCAGCTGGCAAGGCAGGCAAGGCTTTCCCGAACGCCTCTGTAGCTGATAACAAAGCTCTGGATCGATCCAGAGCTCTGTTATCGGCTGCAGAGGCCTTCAGGAAAGCCTTGCCAGCCACAGAAGAAGTTCCTGAAGGCCTCTGACAGCGAAAAGGAGGCCGGGGGCGATGCACACAAGTGAGGTTAGTCAGTGGATGACCTCCCCTGAAAATAAGACCTGGTGCCTTTTTTGGGTGGCCAAAAAAAATATAAGACAGGGTCTTATTTTCAGGGAAACATGGCAGTTTCTCCTAACCTGCTCTCCAGCAGGATTGGGTGCTACAAAATCACCACCATGATTTGCTAAAAACAATTGAGTGTAAGTTGAGCGACGTACAGTACTGACCCTGTTGTGCCAGTACCCTGGGAAACACTGTGCATGTTTCCATTCGTTCAAAGTCAAAGGAATCAAAATAAAAATGGAAGATTTGGGGAAAAGGCTTTTCTCAATTCTTTCTCAGCTAATCAGTTTCATCTTCTCTTTTGCACCAAAGGAGAAACATCAGGCATCAGATTAATGCCCGATGTTTCCTAACAAGGCATGATGCACATTTAGCTCCTCACAACTAGATTTTCTCGGTTGGGTTGACTTCCTTTTTTTTAAAAAAAAATCCTTTTGTGATAAAGCCAGGACCATCTAAATTCCCCAGAACGGCTCAGCTGCATTAAAGCAATGCACCCTTGGACACACTAGAAGGGAATGGATTTGTGCATCCTGATCTGCAATTGGAATTCTCTGCAGGAGAACACAGACTAATGGATATGTTCTACCAAGGCTTAAAAAAAAAAAAAGCTACACCTTGGAAGCCTGATCTTCTCTGAATGCAGCCAGAAGTTTTCTGGACATTGATTTATTTATTTTGGTCGTGAAGGACAGAACCCAAGGGAGCTTGCCTTCAGAAGTTGTGAGAGCTTCATCCCTGGAAGCTTTCAAGAAGAGACTGGACTGCCCTCTGTCAGAAATGGTGTAGGGTCTCCTGCTTGGGCAGGAAGTTGGACTAGATGACCTACAAGTCCCCTTCCAACCCTGTTAATCTCTTAAGGTCTGTTAAGACAGACTTCTCCAGAAGCACTAAATAAACTCTCAACCTTCCCAGCAATGTTACCTCCATACTGGAAAGTTCTCCGAGAGCAAGTTCTGAAATAATAGGTCTCTTCTGCTGATGGTCTCCTTGGTCAGCTATGTTGTTGAGCAAGGTAACTCAACTAATCAACAAGAGTAGAAACTCTCTGTTGTGAATGGACCCAGGATGTCATGCCCTTCTTAGAGTCAGACTTTGAGGGACAAGACAGGGAGTGAAGGTGTGGCTCCAGAGGTTGTGGAGAAGGCTGGGGAAGGGTAGAGGCCGGCTGGGCAGTCAGAGGAAGAACCAGGCCCATCCCCTCTTCACCCTTGGGAGGGAGGAATGGAGAAGGCAACAACTTGTCTTATGAGAGAGGAAGCGGCCATGATCCCCCCTCATTGGTTGCAGCTGGGAATAAGAGAGAAGGTTAAAACACAGCATTGCCAGAAGCAAAGTGTGTTTTATTTTGGGCTGAAGTTATCTTGGTTGGCGTCCTTCCAACAGACTGTGTCTTGTTATCTCCTTGAAGTTGGTAATTACTTATCCTGATCCGTTGTGGAATCTCCTTCACTGTAGTTTGTTTTAGGTTTTTATTTTACCTCTATCTGCTCATTAAGTTTGGGCTGTATTGCTTTCGTTTGAAGACTGTTTTTGAATATGTTTTATCTCCAACTCAGAATTATTGAACAGTGGGGCCAAGTTGGAAGATTTAAGGACATTTATTTACATTTGGGATTTTATTACGTTAGTGTTACACTCTGGGGTATCACACAGGAATGGATCCATCTATCCAATCCTTCATCCAGGCACGTGCAACTTCCAGATGCTTTGGACTATATCTCTGACGATACCTTATCTTTGGCTGTGCTGAATAGGACTAATGAGATCTGAAGTCTAAAATATCTCAGGAATACCAAGTTGCCTTAGATCTACCTAAATTAGTAGTTGGGTGAACTCTGAAGGTGTCCTCTCTTTTTCATCATTTCATCATTTCTGGCCAATTAGCTACACTGATTGAACCAACACTGTACCATTCTCCACTAATAGTATTAGAGATTGTGGCGTCCTTGGTGCCTTTTGAGCTTGATGGTTTTCTAGCAGACATTTCATTGCCAAACCAAGTAGCATCATCAATGCTATCAGTACTAGAGATTCTTTGTCCATTCCCTTCTTGCTGACTTTAATTTGGTAACTCACCCAAAACTCTCCATTTGTTACTGTCAACTTTGGAAGCCATATTTTACTTGGAAGTTTCAAAGCTGCCACATTTTAGTGCCTGGGAATTTGGGGGAGGGGATTACATAGAGTGGTAGAAGATTAGACTCAACAAGAAGGGTCCCCAAACTTGGCAACTTTAAGACGTGTGGACTTCAACTCCCAGAATTCCCCAGCCAGCATAGCTGGCTAGAGAATTCTGGGAATTGAAGTCCACACATCTTAAAGGTGCCAAGTTTGGAGACCTCTGTTCAACAACATTCTTCTCATAAAGTCAAGGACAAGTTACCCTGCACCTGGGAAGGAGTGTTTCCAGTTGGGAAGATGGTTGATCGGGCCACGTGATGGACTGATGGGTGCAGGGGATGGGTTTGTGACTTTCAATTGGGAGGGGAAAATCCGGAACTCTCCGATTAGGGTTTTCCCAGATATGCCAGTATGACTTCTTCAAGGAATTCTTACTTGGATGGACTTTGTTTCTGAGTGCTGAATGGAAATGGGAAGTTTCATTGGAACGCTGACAGTAACGTTCTACAGGACAAACGCCACTCAAGAAGAAGATATTCATAAATGCCATTCCTCTTACTTTTTCTTTGATGGTTTCATAGTCAGGTCCCAGGCCTCCAAGCCTCACATCCATCTTCGTGTAACCTTTTGCCCTAGAGCCCTGAACAAAGAGGTAACGTGAAGTTTTGAAAGAAACAATGGGAGGCTGAGAAAAAAATCAAACTATAGGAAGAGCACCACACACACAAAAAAAGAATTACTGGGAGAGGAACATCACAGGCAGCTGTTTATATGTCTGATACCACACAGGAAGAACCAAGATCAAGGACCACTCAGACATAATGGGAAACTAGTTTTTCTACCCTAACTGGAAACCCACACCCTTGCCTTCTCTTCTCTTGAGCTGCAAAAAGGAAATTATTACTATTAAGAATTGGCTTTGTTTTTCAAGTAATCCAAAGTTCTCTGTGACTGAGGAAAACTTGGTGGTGCGGTGGTAAGAGTGCAGTACTGCAAGCTACTTCTGCTGACTGCCGGCTGCTTGCAATTTGGCAGTTCGAATCTCACCAGGCTCAAGGTTGACTCAGCCTTCCATCCTTCCGAGGTGGGTAAAATGAGGAGCCAGATTGTTGGGGGGCAAGAGGCTGACTCTGTAAACAGCTTAAGAGAGGGCTGTAAAGCACTGTGAAGCGGTATATAAGTCTACGTGCTATTGCTTTTACTATTGCTCTGATATCCTCTGTTTCTCACCTTTATTATTTTTTTACAGATAACTCCAGGAGATGAACATATCCCACATAATGTCTTCCTCCTATTTTTCCTACAACCACAACCTTGTGAGATGGGTTCAGCTGAGCGGGAGGGACTGGCCCAAATTCACTCCGCTGGCTTTCACGTTATAAGGCTACATTCACGGATTCTTACAAGCCTGCAAGTACAAAGCTCCCGCCGTCTGCTTTGCAGCCTGAGAAACAGCAGAGGGCGCCTTCTGAGCCTCTTCCTCAACTTGTTACACAGTTGAGGGCTACCCCATCTCTTATCTGATCATTCCCTGGGCAGCATTCTTTGCCTTGTCTGCCAAGGTCTTTTCCACATGCCACTCTGCCTGGTCTATGAAGGGAGAGAAATATATTTATGTTCACTGTTAATTCTGCAAAACCACTGAGAATCTGAAGCTCTTCAAATATTTTTTACTATGGGTTCTGTGGGGGTGGCTTGGTGGGGGTGGCATGGCTTGGTGGGCGTAGCAGGGGAAGGTTACTGCAAAATCCCCATTCCCTCCCCATCCCACTAACCTGCTTTCCAGCTCTGTTCTCCTGTGCAGGGCAACCAAAGGAGACCCAGCCGATCAGCTGTGGGCATGGGTTGATAGGCATGGTGTTCTGTGGCTGTGGTTTGGTAGCTTGGTGGGGGTGGCATGGCTTGTGGGGTGTGGCTTGGTGGGCGTGGCAGGGGAAGGATACTGCAAAATCCCCCTTCCCTCCCCACCCCACTAACCTGCTTTCCAGCTCTGTTCTCCGGTGCAGGGCAACAAAAGAAGACCAGCCAATCAGCTGGGATTCAATGGGAGGCAGCAAATAGATGAAGACGGGGCCAGTCAGAGGTGGTATTTGCTGGTTCTCCGAACTACTCAAAATTTCCGCTACCAGTTCTCCAAAACCGGTCAGAACCTACTGAATACCACCTCTGTGTTATTGTCTTCTTGCCTGAGAGACACACACAGAGAGACTGGTCCAGGGTCATTTAAGCTGGTTTTGTGGCTAAAGAGCACTAGATCTCATGATTTCCCAATTTCTAGCCTTGATACCTTGACCGCTACACCAAACTGCCTCTCCCTTTGTACCATAAGTACAAGTGCTCTAGATTTGCACAGTAGCCAAAATCCAAGACCGTAAGCAAGAAGTTTTTGTAGCTGGACTTCAAAGGTTCCATGGTCAAACTGTTACCGTTGGAAGTTTACATTTTTCAGCTTATTGAAAGGTTGAGGAAATAATCAAAAGAATAAGTAAATAAGTTGAGCCCAGAATAAACTTTTTTTTTCCTTTTATGACCCTATAATCTTTCCATCTACCCCAGGGTGGAGTCAGGGTGATATGAGCATTTACTGGCCAGATTCCCTTCCTGACGCCTACATAGAGTTCACAGCAGATATTTTCTCTTTCCGACCTGATAAAGAAACATCCGGAAGATCGACACCCTTCCCCGCACCCCTGGGTCCCTCCCCTTGCTCACCTTCCGGTTCTCTTTCTTTCCTTTCCTTTCTTTTCGCTTTTCCATCTGAAGCAAGTAGCCCTCCGAATTGCTGCGGCTGAGAACGGGCTGGGCCTCTTCGCCACTCTCCAGGTGGAGCTGCGAGTCGCTCTCCCCTCTCTGGATTATGGGGGGAAACATGCTAGCCAAATGATTCCTAGCAAGATGGTCATTTGCCAGCTGAGAGATTTCTCGATGGTGCCGTTCTACCGCCTGGATGAGCTGTGCCGTTGGGGAGAGGCTTCTCTTCACCGGGTGAGGAGCGAGTGGCTGTGAGGACCTCAAGGAACAAGGGCAAGTAAAGAGGGGTGCCAGGAAAAGAGACACAAGAAGCAAGGAAAAGGCACCGACTTTGGTGAGCAGCTTATAATGAGGTTCCCTCCCCCCTGTTGTCATTAGACCATTTAGAGCAACACAACCCAAATAACCCGAACGGCTGTGATGTTCTCACCAGACAAGTCCTCTCCTGCCACCTCTTCTCTAGCTTCCAGTCTATCTTTGGATTCTTGGCCTTGCCTGGCAACTTTAAGACCTGTGGACTTTTTAACTCCCAGAATTCTCCAGCCAGCCATGTTGGTTGGGGAATTTGGGGACAGGGAAGTCCACAAGTCTTAAAGCTGCTTGGGTTGGAGACCCCTGTCCCAATGTCTTCCTGGGATCATTACTCAGGGAGCACCACTCCCATAGTCAACCTCCTGAAGCTACCTGAGATGTCTCCATCCATTTCCTCTTCCTGCCTTGACACCCACAACTGCTCCCCAAACACCTGCATGGCCACTTCCCATCCATTCCTCCTCTCAGATTCTACATTTTTTCCAGAAAGTCTTGGCTATATTGACCTTGTCCAGAAAACCTTGGCTAAATGGACTGTCAACCCTGAAGCTGGCCTGACTGAAGCCATTTTGGAGCTTGTGTTGCCACCCTGGAGCTGAGGGATAGGGAGGGGGGGATTAGAGATAGCTGGGGTTGTGCAGTCAAAACAAAATACTTTCTCTTGGGAACCAAGGACCTTCTCACCCCTGGCCGGAGGAAGGAGCAGTGATGTCACCAGACTATCAGACAGCACCTTGATTGGACCATGTTTAGAATAACAGAGTTAGAAGGGACCTTGGAGGTCTTCTAGTCCAACCCCTGCTTAGGCAGGAAACCCTACACCACTTCAGACAAATGGTTATCCAATCTCTTCTTAAAAACTTCCAGTGTTGGAGCATTCACAACTTCTGAAGGCAAAGTTGTTACACTGATTAATTGTTCTAAATGTCAAGAAGTTTATCCTTAGTTCTAAGTTGCTTCTCTCCTTGATTAGTTTCCACCTGTTACTTCTTGTCCTGCCCTCAGGTGCTTTGGAGAATAGCTTGACTCCCTCTTCTTTGGGGCAGCCCTTGAGATACTGGAAGACTGTTATCATGTCACACCTCACCCTTCTTTTCATTAAATTAGACATACCCAGTTCCAGCAACCATTCTTTATATGGTTTAGCCTCCAGTCCCCTAATTATCTTTGTTGCTCTTCTCTGCACTCTTTCTAGAGTCTCAACCTCTTGTTTACATGTGACTGATTGTTTGGGGTTGGGGGGGGGAACTTTCACTTTTAGTTAGGGGAAAACCGTGGGAAAATTCAGAGTCGGTTTTCACCAGATACGTGCCAATATGATATATCCAATAAAGCTATTCTTTTGAGGAATCTACCTGCCTCCGAGTTTTGCTTAGTATGGCTCTATTACTTGGAACCCTAACCTTGGTTTAATGCAGGGGGTCTTCAAACTCGACAGCTTTAAGACTTGCGGACTTCAACTCCCAGAATTCCTCCTCCAGTCATGTTAGCCTCAGGAATTCTGGGCATTGAAGTCCACAAGCCTTAAACTTGCCAAGTTTGAAGACCCTTGGTTTAATGGGGTGGACCAATAAAACAAAGGAGGTGTCAACAGACCATTTGACCGAGTCCTTCTTAAAGCAGTATTCATAAAACATGATCTTTACCCTGAGTAATCAAAAGCATAGTTGTTAGGGATCTCTTCTGTATAAACGTGCCAAGGTTTGCGAGATGCAACGGCTCCGTTTACCGGCTTTTTCTGGCCACCGTTGTGAGCGTACGAAAGGCACTTGTCCTCTAAGGGATTCCAGCATGGGCCATGAGCGGGGAAAGGCTCTGAAACAGTACACCTGTAGAAGTATGGGTGACGGAATCCAGAGACGTTTTCAAGGCCGGCTTGGCACTTTTCACCCGCACATGGTGAAGGAAACCCTGGGAAGTTGTGGTAGGAACTCCGCTGAAGAGGCTTCCCAGCAAAGGTTACATTTGCGGCGTGTTGCTTGGCATGGTGCTGAAGAAGGTACGGAGCTCGGGCAGAGAACGGGCTGCTTTCACTGGCGGGATCGGCAACGGAAACGCAGGCAGGTGGATATAACTCACAATGTAGAGCACCTCTGCTGTCCGGCTCCACCTCGGATGTTTCTCTGTAAGCACTGGAACCTGGGCAGACATTCTCAAGTTCTAAGAGATTGTTACCACCGCTTGGCTGGCTTCTTAGTTCCACCTGGGACCCTAAGGGATGTCGGGCGGAACCCTTGCTGGAGGGGGTCATTTTCAGCCAGGCAGCTTGGTTGGAGTCCACGCCACCCGCCGGACACCTCGCAGACTGGTGAGCCTAGAATGAGTTAAATTGTAGGGGAAACTTAAGATTCGGTTCTATGTTGGCTGGGTAAGAAGAACGTTGGGCAGCTTGGCGGCCCAGCAAGGGGGAAGAGGGCAGTGGTGGGTTTCCAAATGGTTTTCTTACCAGTTCTATGCGCGATTCTATGCGCTGCATGATTCACGCGCGTGCAGAGGGCTCAGAGACCGACCTCTGTCAACGCTGGTAAGCTGAGCTTGGTGTTTTAGCTCAGCTGAGGCGTGGCAATCCACGCTGCCATGCCAATCAGCTCAGCTAAAAAAACAAGGGAATAGAGCAGTGGTGATGGCAGGTGGGAGTGGGTGGGGCCAAACAGAGGTGATATTATTTGCTGGTTCTCCGAACTAGTCCAAATTTCCGCTACCAATTCTCCAGAACCGGTCCGAACCGGCTGAATGCCACCTCTGGAAGAGGGAAACCAGGGTTACACAAGAGGTGAGCAGCAGCTCACCACACACACACACACAGCTCAACATATGGGAGTGGCAGGCTCAACTTGCGCAATGGGTCCTGGGTTTGCACCGGTTTGGTATCTAATTTTATGGCCAGTTCAGCGAACTGGAAAATCCCATCTCTGGCTGGCCCCTCCCCTCCCAGGAGTCCCCATGGGGCCTATTTTAGATCGCATGTAAGTGCAGGGCCTGTGTGGAGGCAAAAAACAGGCCTCCCTGAAGTTCTGGAGGGCTGGAAACGGGCCTGTTTCCACCTCTGGAGAGCCTCTGGAGCCCGAGGTGGTCATTTTCACCCTCCCAGAGTTCAAGGAAAGCCTCCAGAACCTGGGGAGGGCAAAACATGGGCCTCCTAGAAGTCCCAGAAGATTCCAGAAGGTCCCGGAAGGGCCCCCCTCAGGGCCTGTTTTCGCTCCCAGGCCAAGGTGGTGCAGGAGGCCAACTAGGCCATGCCCACCCTGCCCACGCCTACCCACCCACCAGGCAGAGAACCGATTGCTACATTTTTTTGAAGCCCACTCTTGTGTGAAAGTAGACTTTCTGCAAAGTAGCTGACATCATATACTTCGCTTAATTAGGAGGACTTAGGTTTAGGGGATTTTTGATACTAACCCTCAGAACATCTCTCCGACGCTAATAGGATTTTATTCTTGAAGGTGATTAAGAAATGCTTGCTTGATTTAGCTATTTAAGCTGAGAAGCTTGGTCCGCAAAGGAGAACATTCCTAGTGGAACAGCCTGTTTCTAACCAGGAATAAAATCAGGTGAATCTGAAACAGTGGAGACTCTCTAAACTAGCACCCCCCCCATCATCCTTTGGGGCACCAGGGCCCGGTTCCGAGGGGAGCTTTTTTTTTACGGACTGTAAAAGTTTTGCATACTGCCTGCCATACTACTGGACGGGGCTTCGCTTGTTTGTAGGGCCCAGTTTTTGGCATGCTATGGACCGGTACTGGTCCATAGACCAGGGATTGGGGACCCCTGCTCTAAACTGTGCTTGGAAAATCTGTTTGGGAAAGATAATTCTGTAACGTTGCCTTGCCTTTGCTCCATACTTTCGTAGAGTAAAACAGTGGAAAGAGCCATGGTGGCGCAGTGGTTAAAATGCAGTAAGCGAAAGGGTCCCCTCGCACAGGCGTGCTAGTCGTTTCCGGCTCTAGGGGGCAGTGCTCACCTCCGTTACAAAGCCAAAGAGCCAGCGCTGTCCGAAGACGTCTCCATGGTCATGTTGTCGACAGGACTAAACGCCGAAGGCGCATGGAACGCCTGGAACCTTCCCACCAAAATGGTCTCTATTTTTCTATTTGCATTTTTTTACATCCTTTCAAACTGCTAGATTGGCAGAAGCTGGGACAAGTAACGGGACCTCACTCCGTTATGCAGCGCTAGGGATTCAAACCGCCGAACTGCTGACTTTTCTGATTGACAAGCTCAGTATCTTAGCCACTGAGCCACGTTCCCCTAGAATGCAGTACTGCAGTACTGCAGGACTAACTCACTGCCATCAGTTCAATCCTGACCGGCTCAAGGTTGATTCAGCCTTCCATTCTTCTGAGGTGGGTAAAATGAGGACCCAGATTGTTTGAGGGCAATAGGCTGACTCTGTAAACCACTTAGAGAGGGTTGTAAAGCACTGTGAAGCAGTATATAAGTCTAAGTGCTAATGCTATTTTCCTTCCTTCCTTCCTTCCTTTCCTTCCTTCCTTCCTTTCCCTTCCCTTCCCTTCCCTTCCCTTTCCTTCGCAGTGGTTAGAATGCAGTCTAACTCTGCCCACAGCAGCAGTTCGATCCTCACTGGCTCAAGATTGACTCAGCCTTCCATCCTTCTGAGGTTGGTAAAATGAGGACATGGATTGTCGGGGGCAAGAGGCTGACTCTGTAAACCACTTAAGAGAAGGCTGTAAAGCACTGTGAAGCGGTATATAAATCTAAGTGCTATTGCTTTCTTCCTTCCTTCCTCCCTCCCTCTCTCCCTTTCCTTTTTCAGATGGTTAGAATGCAGTACTGCAGGCTACTTCTGCCCAAAGCCAGCAATTCAATCCTGACTGGCTCAAGGTCGACTCAGCCTTCCATCCTTCCAAGATGGGTAAAATGAGGACCCAGATTGTTGGGGGCAAGAGGCTGCCTCTGTAAATCACTTAGGGAGGGCTTGAAAGCACTGTGAAGCGGTATATAAGCCTTAGTGCTATTGCTATTTTCCTCCTTCCCTCCCTCCCTTCCTTCCTGTTCTTCCTCCTTCCCTCTATTGGTTCCTTCCTTCCTTCTCTTCCTTCCTCCCTCTATTGGTTCGTTCCTTCCTTCCTTCCTTCCTTCCTTCCTTCCTTCCTTCCTTCCTTCCTTCCTTCCTTCCTTCCTGTTCAGAAGCTCCTCGATACCAATTCCTCGTCCAGTTTACAATTCGGTACTGGCTAACTTTGCAATTCCCATGATCTTCAACATGTATGACCACAAGGAAGAGACTTTTTCTCACCATGGATGCTTAACTGGATACCTGTAGATTTCCCTTTCAGCTTTTTCATTCTCACTTTCGCTTGTCAATCTCCAACGTCCCTGACCATTGCTATTATACAATGATTTGACGTTGTAGTTTGAGTCATCCAACCTACTAAGCTATCGTTTCTACTCGTTCAGTTTTTGCTCAGTGCGTGAAGTCAACACAAGTGGAAGCGTAGGTTGTAGTCTTCGGCTTACGAGTACAATTGAGCCCAACGTTTCTGTTGCTAAGCGAGAGAGAGTTGTGAAGTGAGGAGGTCGCAAAAGGGGAAATCACATGACCTTGGGACACGGCAACGGTCGTAAGTACAAACCAATTGCCAAGCATCTGAATTTTGATCACAGGACCGTGGGAACTGATACAAAGGTCGTAAGTGTGAAAAAAAATGGTCCTAAGTCACTTTTTTTCCAGTGCTGTTGTAACCTTGGATGGTCGCTAAATGAACTGTTGTAAGTCGAGGACTAGCTGTGGATGGAAACCAGGATGTAAATCCCAGCCAGCATGGTTTACTCAACGAGCCGTGGCTAAATCATCTCTTAGGAAAGAGGTACCAAAAATATCCGCCTGCCAATTATGAGGGCCCTTCTCATAATCAGAATGAGGTCAGTCTTTTTCCAGCCGTTTAATTGCATTTTGGGGAGGTATCAAAAGACAAAATGTTTATCTTACGGCTTGCTGGGTTTGCAGGCTCCTTGTGATGAGCCGGGGCGTGGTACAAAGGCAACACAGTCAAATAAGCAAGAAGAGTCCCTTTATTGTCTCCAACTTTGCCCCCAATGTCCAGGTTACCTTCGGCTAGAGAAAAAAGCTCTCCCAGTAACAGCCTTTAAGTGGAGGAAATTCAGTCCGAAAACAAAGTACATACAAACTGTAACTAAAAATCCAAATAAACCACGCTGCAGTAATTAACTTGGCAGGGCAGGAGAAGGAATTGCAGACTTGAAAAGCCAGCAAAACACACACAGTTGGGAAGATGCCAGGAACCCAGATAAGCCTCCACCAGATAATTCACGATTTGCTTCCAACAGGTTGCTACGCGCAGCTTCCCTTTTTAAACACTGTGTTCCCAGCTGTAGCTAATGAAGGGAATCAGGGCCCTTTCCTCCCCCGTAAGCCACACAACCCATGTTGCTCCCTTATCCGCTCCTCCCTGCGTGCCCTAGGATGAAGAGGGGGTGGGCCTGGGTCTTCCTCTGAATCCCCTCTGCCTTGCTCTACCTCTCCCCTGCTCGGCCCAGCCAGACTTTGCCCTTCCCCAATTTCTTCCACAGCCAACGGAGCCACCCTCCCACTCCTTGTCAGCTGCTCAGCCTCCCCTTCCAAATCAGATTCCAACAGGGGCATGACACTCCTACTGCACTCCTCAACATGCCAAAATTGACCCTGCAAAAGTAGGGTTTGTTCCTACTTATTTTTGGAGCGAAGTCCTCAACCCACCATCCAACGTTTGGCACAGGCGTATTTGAACCAACCGAAGGCGAGAGTTGTTTTCTGTGAAAAACAAAACCGGCCCTTGAACTCTGAGGCACTTGTATCTTAGGAGCATATATGGAAGGTAGACAAAGTCATTTACTTGGGTCTTGATTATGGTAGCAACTTCTAGCCCCCTCTTCAACTTTGACCTCTGTCTAAGTTATAATTGGTGTCTCATATTTGGGCATCTCATGCTACGCTATATTTTCTGAAGAGCAACGTTTGTGAGATTACGGGCTCATCTTCCTTACGGACATCAGAAGCGGAAAACCTTTGCTTCATGGAGGAAAAAAAAAAAAAGCAAATTAGATTTTATTCGAACGGAACAAAATGAAGGGCAGGCTTGGTTAAGTGGTCCGTCTCTTTAAGCCAGAGGACCATTCACTGGCTGCTTTCCTCTCGGCACAATGCTTCAGAACAACAGTTAAAGGGGGGTGGGAAGAAACTCAGCCTCAGAAGGTCTTCCCTTAATTGCAACTTCTTGCATGAATAGAACCGTACCGGGACTTAACAAGAGAAGAAAAAGCATGTCGAACATGGTTGCTATGTTCCTTCTGATCCCTTGCCATAGGTCATCGCATGGTCGCGTGGGATGACCTGGGACGTGGCATGAAAGCAACACAGCCAGAGAACAGAGTACACAGTTTATTGCTCCAACTTTGCCCCCCCCCCCAAATGTCCCCACGTTTACTACAAGTCCTGGAGCAAAGTTCTCACACGCA